CAAAATTTGCCTCCACCTGATTAAAGAAAAACTCAGAATTTGAAATATCTGTAAATATAGTTCATTATGTCACAGGTTTCAAAGATACAGGATCTATCATAAAGTCAAGGTCAAAGTATTTAGCTCCTTTTCTCCCCAACAGACCCTGGAAGTAGAAAGATTTTCCATAACATAAGATGATAGAGTATGCATGTTTGAGGGGAGGGTTATGGAAGATTCATCTTCCCATTGCAGAGTAATCACCTGGAACCAAGATACATATATAATATGGGGTATAATAAAGGAGTTCAAAATTTTTAACTAGAAGCATTGTGAAAACTTAAAGTTCAGCACTTTCACTGATTGAAGAAAATTGCTTTTTTAAAAAAAAACTTCTGTGAGACTTTTGGTCCACAGCCTACTCAAAATGACAAAATTCTACTCAAGAATAAAGTTTGAGCCCATAGCTAATACCATACACAATGGTGAAAAGTTAAAAACTTTTCCTCTAAGATCAGGAACAAGACAAGGATGCCCACTCTTGCCACTTTTATTCAGCATAGTATTGAAAGTGCTAGCCAGAGCAATTAGGCAAAAAAAGATAATAAAACGTGCGAATTGGAAAGGAAGAAGTAAAATCGTCACTACTCGCAGATGATGTGTTATATATAGAAAATCCTAAAGACTCCAGCAAAAAACTTAAACTAATTAAAACAAAACTAATAAATGAGTTCAGTAAAATTTCAGGATAAAAATTAATATGTAAAAATGTTACATTTCTATACAGTAATAAATGAATAAATTAAGAAAATCCCATTTACAATTGCATCTAGAGATATAAAATACCTAGAAATAAGTTTATCAAAGGAGGGGAACTGTACACTGAAAACTATAAGACATTAATAAAAGAAATTGAAACAAGCTAATGGAAGGAGAGTTTGTGCTCATGGGTTAGAAGAATATCATTAAAATGTCCATACTACTCAAAGCAATCTACTGATTGAATATAAACCCTATCAAAATTTCAGTGGCGTTTTCACAGAAATGCAACAAACAGTCCTGAAATATGTGTGGAACCACAAAAGACCCTGAAGAGCCAAAGCGATCTTGAGAAAGAAGAACAAAGCTGGAAACATCACACTTCCTGATTTCCAACTATATTACAAAGCTGTAGTCATCAAAACAGTGTGGTATTGTCATAAAAACAGATCAATGGAACAGAATAGAGAGCCTAGAAATAAACCTATGCATATATAATCAATTTATTTATGACAAAGGAGCGAAGAATATACAGTGAGAAAAGGACAGTCCCTTTGATAAATGGTACTGGGAAAACTGGACAGCCACATGTAAAGGAATGAAACTGGACCACTATCTTATACCATACACAAAAATTAACTCAAAAGGAATTAAAGACTTGAACACAAGACCTGAAACCATAAAACTCTTGGCAATGTTTTTTTGGTTGTGACACCAAATACAAAGGCAACAAAAGCAAAAATGAAGAAGTGGGACTACCTACATCAAACTAAAAAGCTTCTGCACAGCAAAGGAAACCATCAACAAAATGAAAAGACAGCCTACTGAATGGTAGAAAATATTTGCAAATCATATCTGATAACGGGTTAATATTAAAAAATAAATAATGAACTCATACAACTCAATAACAAAAAAAAAAATTAAAAAATGGGCAAAGGATCTGCATAGACATTTTTCCAAAGAAGATATACAGATGTCTAAATGGTACATGATAAGTTGCTCAACGTCACTAATCAGGGAAATCAAATCTAAACCATACCAGTTAGAATGGCTGTTATCAAAATACAATAAATAACAAATCTTGACAAGGATGTGGAAAAAAGGGAACCCTTGTGTACTGTTGGTAGGAACGTAAATTGGTATAGGCACTATATAAAACATATGGAACTTCCTCAAAAATTTAAAAATAGAACTACATATGGTCCCGCAATTCCACTTCTGGGTATTTATCCAAAGGAATCAAAAACACTAACTCAAAATGATATCTTCACCCTATGTTCGTTACAGCATTATTTACAATAGCCAAGACATGGAAGTAACCTATGTGTCTATCAATGGACGAATGGGTAAAGAAAATATGGTGTGTGTATGTATGTATATACATAGGAAATATTGCTATTTGTGACTACGTGGATGGACTTTGAGGGCATTGCCCTAAGTGAAATAAGTCACAGAGGAAAATACAAATGCCATATGATCTCACTCATATGAGGAATCTAAAAAAGCAAACAAAAAATAAACTCATACAGAGAACAAATTAGTGGTTGCCAGAGGTGAAGGAAATGGGTGAATGCACTCAAAAAGTAAAAACTTCCAGTTATAAGTGAGTTCTGGGGATACAGTATGACTTATTTATAGTTAATGATACCAGCTTGTAGATTTGAAAGTTGCTAAATTTCTCAGATCTTAAAATTTCTCATTTAAAGAGAAAAACTTTGTAATTATGTGTGGTGATGGATGTTAACAAGACTTACTATGGTGATCATTCATGATATATACCAGTATGAATCATGTATACCTGAAACTAATATATGTTGATTATACCTCAATTAAAACAAAAGAGCAAGCTTTAAAAAATGAACTTTGGACATACAGAAGATAATGCTTTGTTGTCATTGTGGGAATGATTACGTCCATGTTAGGTTATGATGATATGATCTGGGTTTTCAGTAAATTGTTATTTTTTAAATTTTCCCTTTCATTGGGCTATAGAAGATGAAGTCTAATTCCATGCTATGAGGGTATTCCCAAAAGCACTCCTACAGAGATAAGAAAGGATGTCAGGTCAGGTCAAAGGAGAAAGATGGCTCATCCAAGTTCCCTAGTGGAGCGTGTTCCCTGGACTCCGGGACATTAATATTGGCAACATCCAAATGTGTTCTTTTCCACATTTGTAATTTCCCTTTGTTTCCCCCCAATCTGGATAGAAATCTAGAGTCTGGACTTGGCTGTGCTTTGAGGAACTAAGAAGGGCCTGGGTCTCTGCTGACCTGAGGCAGCGCAAAAAGGACAGTAGCCACCCAGGGAAGGCAGGTAAAAGGTAGCAATAAATTGCCATCGGAGTTGTTGGGGGAGCAGCTGGCTCGGTCACAGGTGACTACCAGCACAGATTACTGGAACATGTGAGCGTCCTTCAGAATCATCCAGATATAACTGGGAGAGGAATCAGGTGAAAGGGTATACCTGCTAGAGACAGTCACACACAATGCAGAATGAGCTTTACAGGAAATGCTAACCCTTGAACATGTAGATTTAACATGCTGAGTTACACTTGCTATCTCCTGCCCACCATGGCTTATCCTAATGTGGTTCAACCTCCATTTGCTGGAGTTTGGAGTTTCATAAACTTTTTATTACTTATTTGACTGTTTATTAATATATAACAATATTGCATCAGAGCAAGAGTTTGGTCGTGCTAGGAAGTGGCAAGAAGTATCCTGCCTAGGAAATGAATATGGTCCTATATTTTAAAGTTAGCTCTGGTTAAATCATTCACTTGGTAAACATTTGTTAAGCGTCTACAATATGCTGGGCCCACAGCACTGGATACGATGGTAACCTGTCTTTCCACAACATTAGCATGTAATAAGAGAAAAGACATTTTCGTCAATAATGACTACACAATTTGAGGATACGTAAGAGTGGTCAGTTAAGGACACATCGAGTGTCTTCCTCATAACTTTTTACTGAAAGAAAAGGCTCATAAGGTAGTGGTGAATGTAGATTGAGTCATGCCTGAGGAGAGATGTGGATTCTACAACTTACTAGCTCTAGAGCAAATTCTCTTTGGTCTGTTTCCTCATGTACATGATGGAGGTTTTGTAGGTCAGTTGGGAAGATTAAGACAACAAATATAAAGTATTTAATATAATTCCTGGCACATAATGAATAATGTAATGTTATACTTGCTTTCTGCTTTTTTCGTAGAGGACTATCTACAATCTCTGTTACCTGAAATTGGAGAGGTTCCTTCTGATGTTAGCAAGTTATTAATTTTAATAAATGAAAAATAGAAAAGACAATTTTGTTTTTATACGTGTACTCAGCACTGTGATACAGCCTCTATATTGTTATCTGGACATCTGAAATTTATCCTAGGAAGGTTAGTAAAGAGGAAGGGCTAAGAAAGCTGCTTTAGGAAAAAAATAAATCTTTCAGATGAAAAGGGAGTGTGGCTATAGGAAGGACCTAGAAATACCAGGAAGTAATAAATTGAATATACATAAATCATGTTAAACATCTGCCAGATTTCAAAAGGTAGGGGACTTCAACACTGGCCTCTTGACCCTGGGGTGATCAGGGTCTTCTGCTTTATCAGATATAGTGCCTCCACAGAGTCCCAGGACAAAATAGACTCAATAACTATACCACATGGAATCTAAAGGAATGTCTAATCTGAATAGAGTTTTATTTATTTTTGGATTTAAAAACTCCTTGTTTCATGAATGCACATTTATAGGGCAAAGTAGAGCAATTAATCACATAAACAACTGTTCTCGTATAATAGGTAGTCGCTATTTGAAATAAAAATCCAAGTGATAGTAATAAATGCAAGTACATATAGTAGTGTATATCAAACAACTTAAATGAAAGTTGTTTGATATACACTACTATATGTACTTAAATGCAAGTACATATAGTAGTGTATATCAAACAACTTAAATGAAAGATGGTATGTCCTGAAAAACTGACTGAAACAGGTACGTTGAGGTGAAAAGATGCATGTGAAGAGTTCAGTGAAATGTGAAAAAGCAAATACTAGTAAAATATTTAACATATTAAATAAAACTTTAATTACTAAATTGAATAATTAAAGTGAGAGAATTTCTCTCCCCACGTTAGTGTATTTCTACAGACTGTATAATCCTAGTCAGAGCCACTGGAGCTACCAATTCTCACTTCACCTTTGTGTCACTGAGCCTTCTAGTTCCCACTCAGTGCTTGAGGTGTTCCATATATTTGGGTTCTTCCTCCCACTAGTTTTATGCTTCTGGTTCTTCAATTTCTCCTTTCACTTCCTTACCCTCTCCAGGCATCTCTGCTGGGGCAGCCTCTGCTGGAGCAGCCTCTTCTGGGGCAGCTTCTTTTGGGGCAGCCTCTTCTGGGGCAGCCTCTTCTGGGGCAGCATCCTTTGGGACAGCCTCTTCTGGGGCAGCCACTCCAGGTTGTATTACCGAGGGCTTTTCTACAGCCTCTGCAGGACCTTTTTTTATGGACTCTGCTGCTGGACTTTTACAATTGATATATAAGCAAATGATTATAATTGCTAATAATATGATAAAAAGTAAAAATAATAAAGATATCATACGATCTAAGATTTTTTCATGTCTGACAGAAATGGTATCATTCAGATGTTGACTGTTATCTGGCTTGTCTCCATTTGGCTTACCAGGAGGACCACTGTCCACACTACCCCCATGACCAAAGGTTTTACAGTCAGGGGGCGCATAGCCAGCCTCACAATGGCAGTGCTTTAAATTGTTGCATACTCCTTTCCCATTACACATTATCACTGGATTGCAGTCATAGTTGAGCACGGTATAATCAGTGCAGGAATAATTCATGCAGACTTTGTTAGGGGCACAGAGAGTGCCCGTGTGGACATCTCCCTCATCAGAGATATCAGTAGTGTTGTAGGCATCCATGCTCCAGCAGTGGCCATTGCCATGAGGAATCTGAATCATTGTGTAATGGGGTTTTATTTGTGGCAGGTCTTTAACATTTGTACATATAATTTTCCCACAAAATATATTGTCATCTGAACACTTAACATATTCTGAATTATTCGAGTCAGGAAGGCCACAGTTTCCAAATCGGTCCCCTTTGCTGTTTATCAAACGATAACAAGGATCTGGGGCAGACCTTGCAGACATCCCAAAATGATGTGTGCATTGTTTATCAGGATTCCCACATATACCATGAAAACAATAGAAATTTCTATCACATGATGTGCCATCTTGCTTGTACCTATCTGTGGGGCATTTATCAGAGGAACCGTCACAATACTCTGGGAGGTCGCACTCTCCCAAAGCAGGACGGCACAAGACTCCCTCTAATTCAAATTCACATGTCACACGACAGCAAGGACCACTACCACATTTTGCATTCGCCGTCAGCATACATGTATCATCACAGCACTGGGAATGCTGACACTCACTGCCACAGTCACACTGCTCATCGTCCTCCACCACACCATTTCCACACACAGCATTCCTACGCAGCCGGCCTTTGTGCTGAGGGTTGTTAAATAGGCAGGCCCCTTTGTGTTCCCGGAGGAACTGGTAGTAGTAGTCAGAGCTGCAGTTGCTGAAGCCACTTTCCTTAGAGATATTTTCATGCATGAGGCAAAAGTGTCCGTCTTGACAAATGCAGGCCGAGTGGTCGTGCTGAATACCCAAGTTGTGCCCGAGCTCATGGACCATGAGCGCCGCAGACAGGAGGACATCTTCGTGATGGAAGGATTCGACAGCTGCTGCAAAGCCACTTGAACAGGCACCACTGAGAAATGCCTGCCCCATGCCCTCCGCAGGACGTTGTCCAACAATCATGTGGGCGACATCGTGCTTCACGCGACGGAGGAGCTTCTCCTGTCTCCAGCTATTGAAATTGCTGAGTGTAACTTGCAGGTCCACTGGGACCTCTACGAGGTCCCCCTCGCTCCAAATCTCCATTCCAGCCAGCAGCACCTGTGTGTTAATTCCCCTAGTGAAGCTGTTGGCCAGAGCAACGATGTCCGCCACTCTCTGGACCGTGTCATTGACGTTACTGCCCCACATTTGGAACCGCTGGTTGTTGACCACGACGAACATCTCCACGTACTTGGTGTGCGACCACAGGTAGGACGGCACCTGTACACTGCCAGGCTTCCTGCTCCCTTGTCGCCGGCTGCTAAACACCACTGGGTTGTCTCTGGAAGGGACACTGCAGGAGACTCGAGCTCGATGTGCCACGGTGTACAGCACGTGTTCAAACCGTTTTGAAGAGTTCACGGGCTCAATGCCGTAGGATTTTGCCTCCTTAACGAGGATGCCCCTCAGGCCTGAACAGGTGTTGACAGAAACAAAAGAACCTGGGACTCCTTGTATGTAGCCTTCATAGTGACAGTCGTGCGGGAGGAAAGGCATTTCTTGCCTCAGAATGCCACCGTGGTAGCTGAAGACTGGAAAGCTCGTCACGAAGTAGTCTCTCTTCACCGTCAGGTGAATCAGCTGCTTCTGGCCCTGCATAAATATCACGTAGGATGCCTTTTCCACTGGGGCATCGCTTCCCTCAGCCGTCAGACTCTTGGGGATGACGATTTCATAGGAGGAGTAATATACTGATCCCAGGTCACAGTACAGGCTTGGCAGGAAACTCAGTAGCAACACCAGCATGATCCCCGACCGGACACAGGAAGGTCCTGGCAGCAGCGCCAGCCTCAAGCCCTTCATCTGGGGAGCCCAGGGCCAAAGCACCCGGCTAGTCTCATGCACAATCACTTGGTTTTTCCATAGAGAAGTCAAGAAGGAGGCAGAGTTGCTCACAGCGGCCACCACTGACATGGCCCTCGTGGACCAGTAGGCGGCACAGGGCCCGTGTCTGTCAGCGGCAGCTCTCCCTGACACGCAGAACCTCAGTCACAAGTGTTTGCTCCAGATGTATGCAGCTTTGTGGAGGGTGGCTACGGCCTACCTCTGGAGGTGCAGCCTCTGGTTGTGTCCTTTCTAGTCTCTGATCTCTCCGTTATCCTTCAGATAGTGTCTTTTCGCTGTAACTTCCTTCCGCAGCATCAGCTTCAGTGATGCTTGGCTAAAGTCGTTTTGACACCGTGGTGATATAATCACGGAGGAGGACTACAGACTCTAAAATGCAAGACTATGTCTTGAGATAGGAAACAAAACCCCCATGCCTACCTCAACTGTGCCCCACGGAATACCCCTCCCCCATGCCTCCTGTGTCCGTTGCTCAGCTGACCCCTAATGTTCCAGACCAGGGGGCTTGGAGATCATTGGTGGGCATACTCATTGCCCGTCTCCCTTCTTCTAAAACGCCTGCTCTGTAACACATGGGCATTGGCCACTCAGCGCGTTCTCGACCCCTCGATGAGGCATTATAGTTGTATGCACATGCTGCAGGCCAGACTGTTAGATGAGGCAAGGGGATGGCTGCCCTGTGCCCCAAGGGCTGGTGACCCATGTGG